TAATATTGAAAATATCTGAGAGATTATTTTGATTTAGATGAAAATCTTTTTCAAAATCAAATCACATCACTTGTTATTGGAATTGATCCAGAAAAAAAGAATTGGACAATAGTCGAGAACATTTGCAATAATCTCTTCCCTGTGATGAATCATTTAATTGATTTAACATTTTGTGAACTCTCGTATAAAACTCTCGTTCGATTATTGATCGATGTTCCATCTCCGAAATTTTCTTCATCGACTCTATTGACATTAAATATCAAAGCACAAACATTCAATGATTGTCTATATATTCCTGATGGTCGTTTCCAAAACCTTCAATCACTTTCTATTGATTTAACCAACATTGATCCTTCATCAAGACAAATCGAAAATCAAGTGAGTTTAACGAAAAAAATCGTTCATTTCATTTTCTGTTTTTTTTTCCGAAGAAAAAAGTTCCGAATCTCAAATGTTTCAATTTGTCATGTCTTTTGGTGACTTGGCTTTACAATGAATTAATTGTTCCACTTCTTCATCGGATGACGAACTTAGAAAAGCTTGGTTTATATCTTGAAACTGGAATCAAGGAAAAATTTATTGATGGAAATACTTTGAAAAAAGATATTCTTGATCATTTAATTAAAATTAATCATTTCGATTTTGATATTTATTCATTGATTTCTTTGAATAATCAAACGAATTATCCATTGCAACAAGATATTCAAAGTACATTTCAAGGTTTTCCATGTGCAAAAGTGGTTCTTGTGTTGATTATTTTCCACAAATGCGATATGTGGGACAATGTCATATTTATTCATATCCATTTCTAATGAAATCTTATGAATATATAACAAATCATTTTCCAGGTGGATCTTATCCATTTGTTCGCATTGTGTCATTATATGATGAACGTCCATTTGAACACGATTTTTTTCTTCGGATTTCTCTTGCATTCCCATTGATGAATCGGTTAACTGTGACTAATCAATGTTCACAAAAACGTAAACAATCAATGGATATAAATGAGAACTTGGAAATTATTCGATATGATCATCTTCTTGAACTTGATATTGGACGATGTCATGATGATTATACAGAACAATTTCTTCTTCATACAAAAACATTTTTACATGATTCGATTTCACTCATTGTTGATGCGGAATCATTAGAAAGAGTTACACAGAATTTTACAAGAAATCAAACACGAACAAATTGTGAGAAAGTTAACGAAATCTTTTTCTACGGAACAAAGAAATATTCGATTGAATCTTTACGAGATTATTTTCCTTTTGTAGAAATTGATTAAATTGTACTATTTTTTCACATATCATTTACAAAAAACAAAAACGTATTCTGTTTTTTTTTGGAATAAAAGGCTATTCACAGAAATCAACGTAATCTTTATCTAAAAGTTACGCTTTTCAAAAACTTGATGATTTATTTATATCGCGACAATCCGTGAAAATGCTCGAGAAATCATTTTCATATTTCGAAGAATTCAGCCGTTAAAAGAATCGAGAGAGCACGACGACATAAAGCTTTTTTTATCGCTCTCTCGTATTAAAACGGACATATCGATAGTATTTTCTGCACTATGTCGAACACCTGAGTACTTATTTTCAAATGACCGTGGTCATCAAGGTCATTTTTGTGGAGGAATTTTTCCTCATAGAATTAAAGAAAAGGTTCGAGGAGGAATTGTTGTAAAATGAGTTTTGAAGATTTTTCTTTTCAAAAAAATCGAATCTACGCGAATAAGAAGTAACTAAAGAATAAGTTTGTTTCTTATTTGTGATCTGAGCAATTGATTTTCTCATGTGTATTGTGTTTGTTTATAAATTTCCTATAAGAAAAGAAAATAGAAACTTTTTAAGGAGTGACTATTCAATCAGAAGATAAGAGTCAGATGCTAAGACGAATACTTTTTCTCTCAAATTCCTCATTAAAACAACTTCAGCTGTTCTCCTAGGGAGATGTGTCAAAAATTTTAAAGTTAGCAGCACCATTCTATGCTTAAAAACACATTTCGCTTAATGAATTAACCTATTATGAAGCTCGATATCAATGATTCGAGTTATTTTAACAATGGGATAGTCGGTACAAATGATCAAAATGACTGCGAAACTAATCTTTCCGGACAGAGATATTCAAATGTCAAATTTCGTATGATTTTTGCAAATCATCAGTTATGCTCATATTCTTTTATTATTGAAGAAGAAATCACTCAAGATAAGTTTCATCACATGTTCAAACACTTTCATTACTAATAATTCGTCGTCTCTATAAACACAAAATATGTTTATTTTATTTAATTAGTTGCTTTCGTTTTAAATAATTCTCATGTGCTTAAACTACGTGTAAAAGCAAAATGACATTTAGAAATACGAAGTAAATGAAGTAAAATAGTTTCGTCGGAATCATTTTCGTCTTCTCAAGGAATTTCAAGCAATTGATGAATCTGGCACGGGCAAAGTAAACACGGAACAATTTTGAACAAAGAACAGTTTATTGATGGGTAACAAGAATAATTGATATTACTTATTGAAAGATATTTCATTTAGATGCAGGAAGTATTTGCTGTTAGTTAGACATAACAAACAAAAAATAGATTGTCATATGTTTTTTTCTTTCTGGAATAAATCATCCTCAACGTACGTCTAATGATTGGGTACTTTCACTTCTATCACGATCTCAATCAGAGATAAAGCATCGCTGTCCAAGATCACGAAAAGCGAGTAAATATAATTTAAAAAACGATGAAAAAGTACAATTCATACAAGTTCCAAGTAAGTTGTTCGTAGGTTATCACGTATAGAGAACAATCAGGTATCTAAATATGATGTTCGAAGAAAAGAACATAGACTGATCATAGTATAAGGTCTTTTGCATTATAAAAAAATTTCTACGAATGACTGAAATGATTCGGCGATCTACGTATTTCGAGTACATTTATATCGATAATCTATGCTTCGGTTGTGTTCCTTTCGGCGATTTATCTTTTCAAGTATATGCATTTCGGCGATGTTCATTTCGGCGAAGAGATACATAATCGAAACACAGATGATGATTTTTCGGCGACGATCTTCCATCAACTCGAAATGGTTTATTTCAAAGCTTATTTTCGTTTTAACAATTATTCTCAAATATGTTCGGTATGTAGGATAAAATGGCATGCACTGAGAGGTTGTTTTTTTAGCATCTATATATAAACTTATGTAGATTTCTATTTGAAATCATTGTTAAGAGAATGTCGACGACACAAGCTCCAAGAAAACTTCGTGATGCAGGTCAATTGCAATATCTTTGAATGGTTCAATCATAAAAAGGTGCAATCTTTCATTTAGAACTTACTGCACTCAAAGCCAGTTCAAGACTCAATGAAGAAGGTAAGACAAATCTGTTACGAATGACTGATCATTGTGAACTCAAACGTTGTTTCTTTCATGAAAATGATTTTAGAAATACAAAACTTGTTTGAAGTGAGAAAAGAGAAAGATTTCATTGGAGATTATTTTCATTTTTTTCAAGAAATTTCAAGAGATTGATGAATCTGGTGCGGACAAAATGAATAAAGAGCAAGTTGTGAAATTCTACATAGAAATTGGTAGTGATCGTGGTACAGATGAGCGCATAGCTAAGTATGTTCATAGAGAAATCTTTGTTTCATATTCATTTCTCATAAATGATCGATTTTAGTAATGTTTTTGGTATCGTGGATCAAGATAATGATGGTTTACTTAATTTTAGTGATTTTGTTTTGGGTACTATTTTCTTGAGAGGGGCAAGTACGGAACATGAATATTCATTGATGTTTGATATGTAAGTTGATTTTGTGAAATGAGAGAATTGATTCTATTTTGATGATCTTTAGAATTGATGTTTCGGGGGACAAATGTATTAGTTATGATGAAATAAAAAAGTTTATGGACAAAATAGTACGATTTGTTTGATTTTCATAAAGATTAATAAAAACATTTCTATTCTAGACCAAACTAGATGCTACTGCTCGTGGAGAAGACGTATCAGAAGTCGATTTAAAGAAGATTACAAGTGATATTTTTAGTGAATATGGTGTTAATGAATATGAAAAATTGAGCAAAGAACAATTCATTGAAGGGTAATCAAAACTAAATCATATGATTTTTCTAATTATTCAAATATATTTCATTTAGATGCAAAAGAAATATTCTTTCGCTTTGAAATGATTTCATTTATATGCAAAAACAATTCAACTGCGTGACACGTTTAACAGTTAATAGACATAGAACAAACAAAAAATAGGTTTTCATAATTTTTTCTTTCTTTCTTCAATAAATCATTTTCAGGGTGACAAAGTGGAGTGTCACTGTGAAGAATCTGTAATAAAGACCAAAACAGAATATTTTCTTCTATTTTATCACGAAACATCGACTATAGGAGAGACTTTCTCATGCGACATTCTGCCAATTGATCAGATATCTTTATTCATAAGAGTAACTCTTTCTTCCGTTGAATACTGACAAAAGTATTTCTCAAAGAAATAAATTTAATATTGATAAGATGTATTCGTTAATAGACGAATATTTTTTATTTTTTAAAAATGATGCATTATTATTCTCTCGATTGAACTGTATGAATGTTTCTTCATGTGCATTTTCGAATAACTTCATCGTATGTTGGTTGATCGAGATGTTCAATTTTCATGATAAAATCTTTAGATGGGCGTCGGCTGTTTTCATCGACAAATCCATTGAGTTTTTCACGTACATTTCTAACAGATGTTGAAGAATACACAATGATTATTTGATTTTCATCAATAAAGATATTTCTGGTATTTAATTCTTTTCCTAAATGCGATTTGATACTTTGTAAGAGAGCATCCATGTCATTAGAAGATAATGTTGAATCTTTCAATTCTTTAATGTTCAAAATACTCACAGAGCAATTATGTTCCTGTTTCATAGTAGAGCGTAAGGTTTTTATTTCTCTCGATGTCTCCGGGGGAAGTGAAGGCTGTCGCGATGTATAATCCGTTTCCGAGTTGGGTGAATATTGATTGCCTATAGCTTGCTGTAGATGTAAAGGTGAAAGTGAAGGTCGGGGATAAGCATCCATGATCGTTTTCTTAGCACGCTGGTAATCACGAAAGGCCAGATCTTCTATCTCATTTATTTTTTCCAAATGACATTCAAGAAGAGCGATGTTTAAATTGCCATCAATTAAATAGTTTTGACATTTCGAGAACAATTTCGTTGATTTAATCGGAAAAAGATCCAAATCAACACCACATGACCAAAATAAGATCGAACCATACGAACGATCACAATCATTCAAACGACCAACAATTCGATGTGATTTTCCGGCTGGAATCGATGATAAACCTGGCCAAGCTCTCATAATCTCTTCATAGATATATTTTTGAATGTGTTCTTTTGCTGATTCTGGCAAGTATTTCCCTAAACAACGTTCAAATTGTTCCTGAATATCCATTTGATTAATATTCAATTGTATCGGTATCGTTTTCATATTTGCATTCGTTTGTAAATAGGCAGAAACACTTTCGAGTTCTTCTTGCATCAATTGAAAAACATTTGGATAGTGACGAGATAATATTGAAGAGACACCATTGCTATGAAAACCATGTTCGACCATTGGACTCCATTGAGTTGACATTTTGGAAAATTGTCAGATTTGAAATAAATTATACACAGCGGTAACAACAAGTATTTATATAAAATAATGGACTACACAGTGACACTCAATGATTTGCGATTTTTCCTATCTGACTCATTTATGGCGATATGAGACTTTTTTATCAGTGTTGAAGATAATATTTATGATTCATAAAGATTACAAAGGATTTATCCAGTTATATGACAGGAATGATAAACGTAAGGAAAAATCGAAGTGATGAATATAAATTCGATATAAGTGTCATGACCTGTTATAACTCATACATATATAAATAGAATCGAACAATATAAACTTATGTGATTGTTATTCACTTCTATGATGGCATCGAATACTACTGACAATGTTCTCACACTTTCACGCATTATCTATAGTGATGGAATATCAGATCATTTATTTCAACAATATCCGAAAGTCCTTGAGCTTTTATATTGGGATTTGGAAAATACAGCATGTGCATTATGTGCCACTGGTGCCTTTGAATTGTTCCAATTTACAAAAACATTACGTTATGCACAATCTGGTACAGACAACATTAAAACATGGAGTGATTATAAGAAAGGGATTCATCAATATCTGAAGGCTCTTAACGATGATAATCGTCTGGAAAAAGCACGTGAAATTCTTGCTGACCACATTCACAATGAGCATTTTGCGAAATTTCCCAACTGGCCGTCCATTTTTTCTCGATCCCAAGAAAGTAATGTTTTTATTGACATTTCGTCGAGTTATCCGGTTAGTAATTATTGGTATGTTGGTTGGTCGTGTATCGGATATATCAAAGTCTCAGATGCCCGATCTGGATTCAATTCATATTACACAGATTTCGAAGGAAAACCTGAACTAAAAATTTTATATTGCAACGAGACAAAGATGAAAGAATTTGAAACGCTCGCGAACGGAGATATGGAACAAGCCAAAGATTTAATTAAAAAAAATAAAAAACAACTTACCTTTCGAGACCTTGAAGACGCACTTTCAAGATAAATCTTTTATTTTTCGATATAATCTTCGAAACAAATAAAATCTTTCAATACTGATTTGTCTATCAAAGTCTAATCTTTAAAAAAAAAGGCGAGAATTTGTAATAAAAAACTCACATCTACATATGAAAAAAGAAATAAAAGGATAAAGTTTAATTTGAAATGAGATGAGAAAGATTTAATTGTTTCTGATTTGCAATTTGTTCAATTTGACGAAATAAATCATATTGAATTTGTTCATTGACAATTGAATCATGTTGATACAAAGGATGAGTGTCAATAGATTTTCTCATCCACATGGCATTGCTCAACAGATCTCCTTCGAAAAAAAAAAGTACAAAACGTTTGAGAAAAGAAATTTTCGAAGAAAAGAAAAACCTTTGGCACGTTGAGAAAGAAATTCGATGTATTCATTAATCGTCTGTCGTGTTGAAATGTCAATGTCTTCAAATGAATTTAAATAATTTAAAACTAAAGATTTCAAACCGAAATAATTTTCCTAAAAGAAAATCGTTCTTTTTTTGTGTAGAGAGAAGTGACAAATCTTACTGAACCATTGATAATTTCATCGATTGTCATTTCACAGATGTGATTTTGTTTTCGAAAATAAAATTTCATTTGTTCAATTGTGTTTTTCACTTGTGCTCGTTGCATATTTTCATGAATTAATGAAATAGGAATTCGTAAATCAATTTCAAATGATAAAATCGATCGAGTTAATAAAATTAAGAAGACAGACAACGCCGCATTTTCGAAATCAGTTATTTGAAGTTCCATTGGACGAAATTCAATTCTCCATCCCAATGATGTCATTTCATCAGTTACTGGAGGTTTAAATCGAAGAGAATTCCAAATCATTGAATTATGATTCTTTTAAAGAACAAATTCACAAAAGAAAAACTTTTTTTCATAAATTTTACTTCGAATTTAAAAAGATTTATCGAAGAATTTGATTCAAAATTGACTTGTTGATCTGTGACATAAAGTGGATCACGAATAAATAAATGTGCAAAATGTTTAGCAACAATTGATGGACAATCTTTAATGAGAAAAACAAAACAATTTCGAGAAGAAAAGAGAAGATTTTCTTAACTATTTTCAATTAATTTCTCATAAATTTCTTTGTCATAATGAATTATCAAATCATTGAAAGATTCACTTGAATTCAATAAATAACACGGAACTGATGCATATCGAGAAAACTGAATTAAATTTTCATTCAATTCTTCGTTTGTTCGATCATCTGTTGTTTTACTTAAAATATTCCATCGACTATCAACTTCACTTAAAAAGCCTCGCCAAATTGGACACGATGTGCTCAACGATAACTAAATAAACAAAGAAAATCTTCATTTTCTATTGGATATTCGATGAAAAAATCGTACGAAAATCGGTGTGAGTGGAATCAATTGATCATAGAGCAGAAGACTTTCGTGAAATGAAGATGCTTGGAGAGTGACTTGTAAACACGAACAACCCCAACCGATTGATGATGAATCTAAATGAATATGATTGATTTGACGAGTTTCAACATATTTTTGCCAATTTTCAACTCCATAAGAAGATAAATCATCTTCAAATGGATCCGATGTGTTCGTGTCTTTCATGACTAAAAACAAAATCAAGTTGAGTTTCACCTTTCAAAACATTAACTTACTTGGAACATTCACAGAAACTTTGCCTTGACGACGTTCGATGACATTTTTATTCAAAAACCTTTTATAGAAAAACAGAAAATTGAAAATAAAAGAACGAAGATCAACGTACATTGTTCTCGGATATTCTGGTGTTTTGTAATAATCCGAACAAGTTAATGAATATTCGAAACTATTCAAAGGATCACTTTCATATTCTGGATAAGTACAATGTAAACAGCCCAATCTAAATTCAAATCGAAAGCATTTTCATTTCTTTTTTTATCTTTCAATTTACCTCGGAAATGCCGAAAATGTCAAAATGAATTCATTTGGATTCAAAAATCGTTGGACAATTTCACGTCTCAATTTCATATTGGTTTCTACGAGAGGAAATGAAGAGATTTCCGATGAATATGGAATTGATGGAATTCCTTCAATAACAAAATTACAATCTTCAGCATGAAATTCAACTGGACAACTTCTTCAAAATAAAACACAAAAATCAATCGAAATTTCCTTCATTATTCTTTTACTCTTTATCCAAATTTTCATTTAATTTTGTTAAAAGTTCATCTGCTTTGAGTAATAATTGAACACGTTGATTTTCATGATCAAAACGAACTAACGAATATTCGATCTAGAAAAAGAATTATTGAAGATTTGTTTTTATGAAAATAATCTTCGTACTTCATCACCCCATAAAAATGGATCGTTTTTTCTTTGTGAATGTTTTCTGAAGATTTTAATTAAATCATTACACGCATCGTTTTTTAATAATGTTCGAACTTCGACAATTTCTTTCCAAGTCAATGGACGACCAGTTGATAAAACACCCATCGACGAAAAGAAATCGATGTTTTCGTGGAAAAGTTTTCAACGAAGTCTCGACTTAATCGATTCTTAATGAAGAACAGATGTTTCGTATAAACAAAAGTCGATTTTCCCAAAGCAAATTTACCTTCTATATCTTCGACAGAGAAGAAAAAGAATACTGTTGTGATAATCAATCAATGAGATAATTCTGTGAAGATCATCGCTATTTATATATCAATAGAAGAGAACGATACGGACAAATCTTTTTTTTTCTCCTTATCTCCAAGGATAACACAGAACGAGTCAATCCCATTAGTGGAAAATCGATCTTCCTACAAAGATTGTACAACATTCTCTTTTCTTCTCCAAGAGAAATATTTTCCTCAAATAGATTTGTTTTTCTTACAAAAGATTTATTTGCTTTTATAGAAAAATTCTTCTTCAATTCACAATTTCAGACAAAGTGAAAACAATGATTCATTTCTTGTCAAAAATCACATTAACGCATCCAAAACAGCACCAATTATGGCCAAAACTGTTGCGCTGATCATCAATATCGAGGTTATCAATACAAAACGACAGAACCATGAGAGAACAAAAAATCCGAGCAAAAGCAAAGCAGCTAGGATAACGAAAATACCAATGTATATTGTTGATAGGACTTGATACCAAGAAAATCTTTTTCGTTTTGCAGAAATATCATAAAGACTAAGTGAAATAACACAAATAACTAAGAATAATGTTAACATTAGTAAATAATCTGTAATAGCACTTTCAAAACTAAAAAGATTTTGTAAACATATTGTTTTATAATCGAATAATGAAATTGTTAAACATGAGATTGGAATACTCATTTGATAAATCCAATTTCTTATTATTTTCAAAATTTTTCCAGGATAAACACAACATTTTGCTTCTTCCTTTTGCTCATTTTTTCTATTTTCTTTTTCACTTTTATCAACTTTAGCTTTTGTCCAATTTGTATACGAATGATATATTGAGAAAAAGAATCCGATGAGAGAACATATCCAAAAACCAGTGTGTATCAGTTTATTCTCTGTTGATGAAGTAACATAATATTGATAAACATCATAAGCAGTTGAATTCATAAAATATGATTTGAATCCTGTTTGAAAATCAGAACAATTTTCAATTTGATAACCAATTTTAATTATATGAGAATAAATGGAATTTTCTTTCGGATAGATATAATACTCATCACGTCGGATATATCGAATATATTTGAATATACCATAGGCAAGTTCTCCCACGATGAATAATAAATTCACTACAAAGAAAATGAGATGAATCCATTTGTAAATTGAAGATGAACATTTCTTCGATTTCGATGTTTTCGTTTCTGACGATGAAATGAAAGGTGTATTTGCATTCTGAGAAATTATATCAATAAACAATCGATCGAAATAAATCACTTGATGCTTACCATTTCTGTTCTTTCTTCAAGAGGAACATTCGATGAGTTGGCTGAGCCTTCTAAAAAATCATTTTATATCAATTATTTCATTCAGATTATTACTTGGTAAAACTCTGCGATTATTTCTATTTTCCGATAAATTGTTTGAAGTATTCAATGGAAAATCTGATGAATGATCGTCAAAATCATTTATACAAGAAACGACATGAATCGCATGTAATTCTCGACAATAATCTGGATTGGACAAGTAATCATACGGAATGTAAACATAACCTTTATCGCCCTAAAGAAAAGAAACGTTAATATATTTCATTTTTCTTCGGTGAAAAACTCTTACAAAACGTTCACCCCACGAATTTTTTACAATGAAACATTTTTGATCGTCATTGTATCCAACTGCCAACATTGCATGATGTCCAATCACCTTATCTTTGTTTCGAGGAAAAAGTGTTGGCATTGGTACTCGACCATTTTGCTTTTCAGCCTCCATAAAAGATTCAAATAATTGAAGTCCAAACACAAATGGATAACTTTCAGCTAAACATGCTTTCATTTCATTTAAATCAACTTTGATTTGCATAAATTTTTTTATACGATAATTTTTCCCTTCGTCATAACAATGTTGAGAAGGTTTTGTATTTTTATTTTTTTCATTGTATGGATAAGTGTCTTCTTTACAACAACCCCATTTCTTCAATGCTTCAATAGCACTAGTAATATGAGTACCATTGTCTTTCATATTGTCTGAATCGAGTCCATCTATGCATCGACTATTATAATAAATAAATAGACGACTGACATCAACATGTCGATTAGCTGTTCTTTTTATTAAATATTCATAAGCAGCTAAATTAGAATATTCAGTAGATCGATATTTCAATAGAATAAAACAAATTACCTGCAAATGCATTTGCAACACTAAAATAATTAATTATATGACAACATGTCAAATGAATCTTTTGTAAACTTACCAAGAACCAATTTCTTCTTGATCTTCCACTGATGTCATAAGAACTCTTAAATCAATGTAAGACGGAAACAAGACGATATCGAATTTCGGTTCCAGGAATGGACAAATATGTTGGTTGAGCCATAGAAAGTATTTTTGTTTTCTTCGAAGTTTCAATGCAATAAATTGGAAACCTAATGGAATAATATCGATATCTTCTTAATGACACAATCAATGAACTTTTCTATTTAATTCCGTGTTTATATACAAAAATTTCCACTGGGGTTTTTCCCAATAAAGTACAAAAAGAAGTGATGTTACTTTTCAGAAGCACTTGTCGTGTTTGGGAAAAAACAAGCATAAAATGACTCCCAATTATTTGATTTTTACATTTCCTTGTCGCAAACAAAAATTCGACTGTGGGAATTTTAATATACTGAATCGATTTAACTAAACTTCGAATCATTTCGTTTCGTACGATTTTAATGAATAAAAAGTCTCTTAGCGTTTCTTTATATTAAGTATACGAATAGAATCGGATATGATTAATTCCTCAATAGAAAGATTTTTCTGAATTATATTGTAAATTTAGATTAAAATGAACAATTCGATTTCCCATAATCACATTCCAATTTGCTAAAAGAACAAATTGTTGATTAATCATAAACTAATATCTGAAGATGTTCACATAGATTAATTAATTGACTCTGCCATTATCTCTAATGAACTTATTTTTGTTGCATTTAAACGAGTCATTGATCATAAATTCAAACTGGTGTTCAATGTTTCTCGAAATGCATAAACATGTAACGAAATACGTTTGATTACTTTCATTAACAAGAATCAATGTATTTTAATATTAAACACAGGCAAAAGCGACAGAATGTTTATTCCCTGTTTTATTGATTATTTTCATTGGTTATGTGAAATTTGATTCATTAGAAATGAGAAAAGTACTTTGATCACGTCCTATATGAAGAAGCGAAAACAGATTGTGATGTGTTCATAGGAAAGAGAAAAACAAAGCAATAAAGAAATGTCTTTGTCTATAAAAGATAATATTTGGTGAGAAAATCATCTGATAAGTGAAATCAATGTAAAACTATTTAATATGATGCAATTTATTCTTTTGACTACTCGACTAATCGATATACTTAAAATCAATGAAAATATTGATGAAATATCTCACATATATATCTTTAGATTTTCTCATCAATTGTTGTTTCTCTTTTATACTGAAAATATTTCCATAAGTACCCATGTAAACACCAGACTCAGGATAGACGCGCTGGGACGCATTTTATTTATCAAATCGCAGCTAGATACATCTTTGTAGAAAGTAGCGCTTGGCTGCATTGACAAAGGTAACTTAAATACGTTTAGACGCGCCTTAACACATTTGAGATGTGCTTCAAATTCTCTAAAAATGCGTTTGCTTTTGGTACCTTTGGCTAAATTACGTTCCAAATAACTACTGACTCTGTCTTTTTACAAATCAAAGCAGTTTGCCTTATGTAAAGATGTTCAACTACAATATATTCTGTCAGTTACAGAATAGTCAGATGGAAATAGGTATTCACCAAATCCGATTCCAATCAAATCTTGTCACTATTTACTCTTTTCATACATTTAATTAGTTATAATGTCAGGACTAGTAAGAGCGAATAAAGCTATCATGAATATTTCACAATAATTGACTATTTTTCACACAAAAATCTAGAAAATGTTGTAAAATGCGTCAAGTTAATCCATCGTGGTTCAATCCTAATTCAATAAAGGACGCATTTCAGTCAAATCTGACCAAATTCAACTCTAGAATTGGAATTGGTGCATCCCTGGATGGAAATCATCATTCATGCACATTGAAAGATATTTTCAATGATTATTTGATATCTGTTTTTCAAACCAAATCTCCTAAATCAGTTGAAAGTAATTGATTATCAATATCTGTCTTATCCGAATCTCATTTAGTATCTTTTATCGTCAAGGAAATCTCAAATAGAAATAGAGAAAGAAAAAAATGCAAATTCGTTTCGAATTGTATGAGATTGTTGAAGAAAAGTAAAACGACGAGTTCTTTCCTTGGAACTCACGTAAAACGAATATCGTTATTCTCATGCGTATAAGTTTAGAAGTCTAATCAGATACATATTCTGTTCTATACTGAGATGTTTTGTGCAATGTAGATAGAGTTCGACGGTTTCGATTCATTGGCATTGTCCTCAATAACAATGGCCTCCATTGTCTGTGTGAGAAAAAAACGGGTATTCATATCATTTGAAGCTTAATCTCATGATGCGTATCAAACGAAAATCCAGTAAATACTCCGCTCGTCTTCATTTTTAAACAAAATCATTTTGAGTGTATCAACGTCATTCGAGCTGTTCCGCAGGAATTATTGTCAAATCTTATTGCCTCGTCATCAATCCCAAATACTTTCTATTCATACATTTCTGCAATTCAATGTATCTTTTTGCGTCACTATTCATTTGAATTAAATATTTCATATCTTTTAAAATGACAAACGGACGGTTACGGTTCGCTGTCATTGGTCTATTCGCCTTGTGATCGGTCACGCAGAAAAAGAATGTTTTTCGTCCGACATCTGAACTTATCCGTCGATTTAGAATTGATATTCATATTCAATGATGTATTTCGAAGATTTATCAAATGAAATTATTCTTTGTATATGGGAAGAACTATCATCTGCTGATGTTCTATACAGTTTCTCTCATCTTAATCATCGTACGGATTCATTATTGATTGAATTTCATGGACTTTACAAACGACTTGAATTAGATTATTCTTCTTTACCAGCTTGTCGATTTCTATGTAAACAGATTCCAAATTCGATCCAATGGCGTCTTGGTCTTACAGTACTGAAAATGGGTTGTCTTCATCGATGTTCTCAAGTCAATATGTTCGTAGATGAAGTATTCAAATTAATTGTCTCAAATAATTTTGCACGAAACCAAAAAACAGATGTTATTAATTGTTCAAAAGATGTTTTCCATTTATTGATAACATATAATAATCAAATAAGACAAACAATATTTCCTCAATTATCGTCATTGTT